GGGGTAGCTGGAGCCCGGGGAGGGGGGTTGATTTGGGAAGGGAGGGGCCAGGGGTAGCTGGAGCCCGGGGGCGGGGGTTGATTTGGGAAGGGAGGGGTAGTTGGACCCTTGGGGGGCTATTTGGGGGGACAGGGGTCATTGGAGCCCTGGGGGGCAGGTGGTGCAGCTCTGGGGGCTGCCTGCTTCGGGATAGGAGCAGACTTGGGGTGGGGGTGATTGGGAGGGATCAGATGGGAAGGTGTGACCCTGGGGTGGGTGTATTTTAGGCAGTGAGGGAAGGGAAAGGGGTAGGTGCAGGCCTGGGGGGTTTACTTGATTTGGGGGAGGGGGAGGACTCGCAGCAGCTCTGGTTTGTGGGTGCATTTGAAGGAGGAGCAGCCCCGGGTGTAGCTGATGGCTGGAGCACCAGGGGAGCAGCTCCAGGCGTGATCACGCAGGGAAAGGAATAAGGCCACACTTCAGTTTTTGTTACCCAGCAAACTGTTGTGTAGCCCGGTCCTGGCCCTTCCCCCTTCTCTCAGCCTCTCATTGGATGAGTCATTTGTTTTGTAGCTGCCTTTAAAATATAAATAACCCTTTTCTGTCCAGGAAGTGTGGTTTGCTCAGAGTTGTGTGCCTAACTCTGCTCTTCTGTTTTGACTTGTAAATGTGAGCTCCGATGCCGTCCTTGTCCTCCCCCCTCCTGTCGTTTGTGCATTCGATGCATTGGCGCGTGTGTCAAATGCCCATTCTGGAGGGCAGCGGGAATCACTGAATCCCCCCCATGAAATAAACGAGATGTCACGTAGCCAAAAGAAAAGTTTCCGTGGTGTGTGTGGAAGAAGGAACCTTAGGAGTGGTTAGATCAGTGTTCTGCTGACCTTGCTCTGAACTGCGACCCTGGCGTCAAAAAGGAGACTTGTTCCTTGCTTTAGTGTGTTAAAGGGAGGTGAAAGTAAAAGCAAAGGGATGAAATTAGCCGAGGGGCAATCTCAAGGTTGCGTATCAGAGAAAACTTCCTGGTTGTTATCAACTACTCGTCTTGTGCCAGCAACAAACATCTTGGAAGGGAGATTAAATCTCATGCTTCAAGGCTCAATCCAATGTCCAAGTATTAGAGGCGGGAATGAGACCTAATGGGGCAACAGGTGCTACACCTTCCTCTGAAGCAGCCAGCGCTAGCCACAATCTGTGACAGGGTATGGGACCAGATGGACCTTAGGACTGATTTGACCTAGCAGCCCTTACGCTCCCCGGTCAGGATTGGTGTCCTATTGTGCCAGGTGCTGTACAAATGCACAGATGCAATCCCTGCCCTGAAGAGCTAATATCCCAGGCCTTGATCTGGTAAAAAGCCCCTGAATCGCCATGGATACATTTTCAGGACCAGGGTCTAATTGAAGTCAGGATGCAAGAAGTGGGTCTAATAAACAGTATGGGGGTGGCTCAAGGTGACTGATAAAATCCCACTATCACATAGCTAGGGAACAGCTGTATGAATCGGATTCTTGCATTTGCCCAGTTCCAAATGTTTAAACCGCAGGTTATTTTCTATATATGTATATATATTTTTATTCAAAATAACACCGTCATTTCCCAGATCCCTCCAGGTCTCCTGGCCAAGCCCTCCCCAAAGTTCAGGGGCTGCCAGGTTCCCCAGAAACCATCTCCTATTGATAGTCTCCTTGGGGAAATGGTGGAAGCTCCATCCTTGTGACCTTTGGTGGGTTGGATGGACTAGTTTTAAAGGTCCTGGGGGAATAACCCTGCCCTGGTCTCAGGGAGATAGATTGGAGGAGCGCCGTGCCTCGGTTTCCCCATCTGTACAATGGTACTGACCTCCTTTGTAAAGAGCTTTGAGATCGGCTGATGAAAAGTGCTATATAGGAGGAAGGTAATATTATTATTATTATTAGGGCTTTTCCTTTGCTCATGTCCATGACTGTACAGTATCTCCTCACTGAACGTCGTCCCAGTTAACGTTGTTACGTTGCTAGGGTGACCAGACAGCAAGTGTGAAAAATCGGGACAGGGGGTGGGGGGTAATAGAAGCCTATATAAGAAAAAGCCCCAAATATCGGGACTGTCCCTATAAAATCGGGACATCTGGTCACCCTATACGTTGCTGATCAATTAGGGAACATGCTCGTTTCAAGTTGCGCAATGCTTCCTTATAATGTCGTTTGGCAGCCGCCTGCTTTGTCCACTGCTTGCAGGAAGAGCAGCCCGTTGGAGCGAGCTGCTGGGGGCTTGGAACCAGGGTGGACCAGCAGCCCCCCATCAGCTCCCCGTTTCCCTAAGTTCCCTGTGTGGCAGCCACCCCGCAGGCTATCAGTTGCCGGCAGTTCAGCTGTCCCTCCCCCCACTGCCGTGTGCTGCTCCTGCCCTCTGCCTTGGAGCTGCTCCCGGGAGCCTCCTGCTTGCTGTGCGGGGGGCGGGGACAGAGGGGGGCTAATGTCAGGGTGTCCCCCTCCCCCCTGGTCCTGCACCCTGCTTACACCATCTCCACAGAGCAGTGGGGGGACATGACAGGGCTCAGGACGGAGGGAGCTTGCTGGCAGCAGCTGCTGTCTCAACTTGCTGATCTACTCAAAAAGGCAATGAACTTAGAGTAGGGTCAGCATACTTAAAGGAGCAATGCACATCTCTCTCTCACACACACACACACACACACACACACACATACAAAGTGTGTCTCTGTCTCTCTCTGCCATGCTGTCTCCCCTCCCTCCATTTGTGCTGCCTTGTGAGGCTACATTAACAACAATGTGTTAACCCTTGAGGGCTGAGCCGAGTGCTAGTTCATCATTTAGCAGTAAGGCATTCCCT